TTCAACTGGACAATTAAATATATCGACGACGTATTATCAATTAACAATAGTTATTTCCATTCATATGTCGACTCGATATATCCCAGTGAGCTTGAAATAAATTTTCTTGTTTGTTTGTTGTTTAACGTCCCTCCCGAGAATTTTTCGCTCATATGGAGTTGAAACCACTTGGTTTGTGGCGGGTTTCAAATTTTGACCTATACTCGGCACTCAAGGCCATTGAGCAGTGAGGGATCTTTTCAGTGCCAGCACCTACTGCGACATGGGATTTTATACGGTCTCATCCGAAGGACCAATCTCCACGTCCCGCCCTGGGATTCGAACCCGCGACGTAAGGATCAACTCCTTACTCCGCGACTCTAGAGCAGACGCTCTAAACACTGCGCCATGCGGGCGACGAGCTTGAAATGAAAGAAATTTGGATAGTTTGCTAGAAAAAGACTTTAATGGTAGCCTTACAACAAAGCTTTATGATAAACGTGATGACTTAAATTTTCCAATCGTCAACTTCCCTTACTTATGTAGCATTCTACCACAGTTATTGACGAGATCAAGTAAATGCCGCGGACATTATTCTCCAATAAATCACGAACGTCATCAAAAAATTATCAGAATCAGAAACACATGTCAAACCTGTACAGCTGAAATAAATATTTCACTGTACAATCTAATACCTATTTAGACCATATCGATGGGTCGTCTTACGCAATCTAAACAGTGTGTATTGCCTGACACATCTGATAAATATCCATTTTTATAGCCAAGTGGGGCTGTTCCACGGACCTCCCCATAACATTTACACTCCGTGATTTTACAGATAAAGCAATGAAATAGAGAACTGATTTTGTTATTTTACATTCATAAAAGTTAATCAATACATGTTACAAATAAATTTATAAATATTTAGAGGATATTCTTAATCCAACGAAAGCTGACATCGTCTGCATTTTATGCAATCGATAAACAAGTATTTACCCTCTGGTGTTAAATGGAACTGCGAAATCGCGACATGGTGACCTAATTCGTTTCTCTATAGAGGAAACGATAAATCTTATTTTAGAGCTGTTAGTAGAATAGAAATAAAGTCCTTGTTGTCGTGAATGATGCAGGATAACCTCCTCGGTCTCGAAATGTTGTCTGAAATATAAAAGCCTCGGCTAAGGCCTCGGCTTTTATATTTCAGACAACATTTCGAGACCGAGGAGGTTATCCTGCAACATTCACGAAAACGCGGACTTTATTTCTTAAATATACCCCTATCACGTGCATATGGGGTTTTTGTTTCCCAGTTGATTCCATACGCAAGAGCATGCCCTACTTATGAATAATTTCTAAAACGAGGCAAGCTATTGACAAATAAGTTGATGAAAAAAGAATACCAACACTCTAATTTTAATTCATCATTACCCAAATTTTATTGTCGATACAATGACCTTGTCAACAAATACAACCTATCATTAAGTCAAATGCTGTCTGAAGGTTTTCATACTAATCGTTAGGCCATTATTTACACACTGAATTGTCGATGGATTTTTCTGTTTTACCCGATCAAGACAAGGAGCACACTTCGGGTGTGACCGGTCGGCAAGGGATGCTCATTCTTCCATAGCACCTGATCCCACCTCTAATGTTTTTGGAGGTCAGTGTTTGCTCTGCTCTAAATTTGTATTTTTTCAATGGACTATGTCTTTGATTACTGTTCGTTACCTCCATATTTCATACAGTTTGCATAAAGATTATGCAGCTCGGAGGTCCGTGTTTGCTCTGCTCCCGATTTGGCTTGTCTAAATGTACTTTATACTTGAATACTGTTCGTTATCTTCATATTTCTGATTATGGTTTAAAGTAAGGTTGCTTTCTAAATCTAGAGTAAGTCTGTATTGGATAATTCACTTGCAACATGCTACAAGTATGATGACAACCAAGGGTCTGGGATTGATCTACACTAAAACAGCAATGGTAGTAACAAAAGACATATGCTTTGGGTCCTAGGATTCTTACAAAATATCTCAATAGTGTTACAAGAGCCTCAAAGAAGTTATATGCTGTACGATATGATGCTTCACTAGAGTATCATCAAAAATGTTATTTAACTTTATTGCTTTCAACTATGTATTTTTTCTCTTTAGCACGAAAAATAAAAATATTTCATATAGTTGTTTCCAAAGAAACGTGTTAAAAACATAGATCCACAGCCACAGAATCATTTTAGAGTATCAAAATATTAAATAAATTTTTGGAACGATCGTTATTATAATTGAAGTTTTAATTTAGGTACATCTAAGTACGTTTCTGTTAGACCTATCAAGTTTTGAAGAAAGCATTTCTTTATTAATCAATAGATCATTTTGAATCGATCGCTTGAGGGAGAAATTTAATTGCAGTGACTTTGAAGTATCTTTTAGAAATTTAATTTGTGTTGTTTATATTTTTTTAACAATTTTTTTTATTTCGCAAATAGGTGAAAGTCCATATTTGCAGAATGTTGAAATTTGACAAAGAAATTCAAATAAAATTATTGATAAAAGGAAATAAGATAAGGACATGAATAATTTATATTTTATAAGAGCGGAAATTTTAAAAAGAACTTATGTTTCCTGAGACTAAATGTTTATTTCAATGTCGAAACACACATAAATTACTAAGCTCAAAGCACCAAACTCCATCAGAAGGTTTAAAAGACCTGGACTCATTTGCTTTGTTTACAATTTTAAATATCTATTTTTATTAAAAAAATAGTTAAGTTTAAAGATTTGAACTTACATGAATATTCTAAGAGTTCAATAACAACGACATTCTTCATAACATCATGTCAAACACCTCTGTTTGTAAAAAGGGCACGAGCTCTGTTATTGTTATTGTTTACGTTTTACCGGATGTATTCAATTTGTTAAGTCTACACACGTCACTGAGCAAAAAATTCGTAATTTTAATAATTTCCAGATAAAAGAATTTTCTTAACAAGCTTTTAATATATTTCGGTGGGAAATGCTCTAGCAATATATAAGTCATGATATTATTTAGAAAATTTTAGAAAATATGAGCTTCAAATTAGTGCCCCAGCTCCTTTAACGAAAAATTGATTTAATTTTCATTAAATTCAAAGTTAAAATAATCGTTATAACGGAGAATTGCTTTCTGAAAATGAAGTGCACAAAGAGTTGTCTTTCTTTGTACTTGCTAGATAAAGAAACATATACTAGTAAAATAAATAAATAAATAAATAAATAAATAAATAAATAAATAAATAAATAAATAAATAAATAAATAAATAAATAAATATTCTTCCGGTTTATAAACTATAGTGTTATAAGAAAGTGAACAATATTTAACATTACCCGAAAAGAAAATTGTGATCAATAGATGGAAGATGCCATTTGTTTAACACTTACCAGCACTGACAGGTTCAGTTTTAATGTTTTACCGTCCAGGGAAAAAAAATTGTGCTAAAACCTAAAACAAAAATGTGTATATTTAGAAATGTTATTAATAAATTTCCTGCATTCCTGAATTTTAATATTCCTTGACAATTTGTGTCCAATTTTACTTATTCTGAGCGAAAAATTCGTTCAAAACAGATAAGTTTCATTCTGGAGCCTTAATTAGTAAAATGGCCTACCGCCTTCGATAAGTTCTTTCCCTTAATGATTGATTGATTGTATGTTGTTTTACGTCCCATTTGAGAATTTTTCACTCATATAGAGACGTCACCATATACCGGTGAAGGGCTTCAAATGTAGACCTTTACTCGGCACTCAGGGCCATTGAGCAGTGAGGGATCTTTATCGCGCCAAAGCTTGCCGTGACATGGGGCCTCGGTTTTTAAGGTCTCATCCGAATGACCCGCAACTTTCTCTTCAAAGTGCCGAGCGCTTGGCGAAGGAACAGTTGCTACCTATTTTTTATCGACTTAGATCAGTCACGTCTGGGTCTCGAACCCACGGCCTCCCGACTGTGTAAAAAAGTGTTCAAGGAAGCATTGATATACATGTATATATAAATGCTTTCACAAGACGCAGACTTTGCAAACTTTGTACTACGTATTCATCACAGTGACATTTTAACGATTCTTACACTTAAAGATTTTATTGAAACTAATGGGGTTGTTATTCAAGTGTTAAAGGTATTATTGTGCACACATCTATCAACGTCACAAAACTAGCAAAGATTGATATATTTCATATTAGAAATGACAGATATGCATAAACATTAAAGCAGTGATTAGTGCAGAAAATCCTCCTTATAGTTTGAAAAATCTCACATGGATAAACGAACAGGACAAAGGTAAAGAACGATCTCATATGATCTCACATGTCAAAAAATATGGCAAATAAAAAAAATCTTACCTTTCATATTTATTTTCTAAAGCCTTAACATTATTTATACATGTCCTCTTGTCGAATTAAAAAAAAAATCACTTACAAGTACTGTACAACAATATATTTGAGAAATGGCGTACATCAGAAGTGGATACATAAAAACTCCAAGGAACTTTTAGAAAATTTCAAATCACAAAATTTTACCAAAATCTACATCATGTGCTTTCTTCTTCTCATGTGTAAGTTTCTGAATAAATTCTGCTTCATATGAGTACAAAAGAGGTCTCAAATAACGGGGCGCAATTGCCACCTATATGAATTCCGACAGATTTTTGGAAGACTTGATCTCCAAAAACTACATCGAATTTGTCAATTAGAAACTCAAACATCTTTTTAATATTAACTTTGGAGTACTTGTATGTATAGTCCAAAAGTTTTTTTTTATTTTACAAAATAAGGCTAGAGTTTTTTTTATTTTCTGTTTAACGGGAAGCGCCGACCCGATTTTTTCAAAATACCGAAAAAAATAAAAGAGGTCCATCTCACTTTTATTTTTAAAATACCCGCCGACTGTGTCATTTATTGACGGTTTGAAATAAAATCGGGTTTGTTGTACACCATAATTTTAATAAATCATGTAAACGTTTGACACAGCTTACGTTAATCAAATTCTTGTACGAGCGTCTTGCTGATTATGATATCGTAACCAGTTTAAAGAACTAGTTTATCGCACTTTTCGCGGGTTCTATCAACAGATCAACAAGCAAAAATGCCATTTCGAGACATTTATAGATAAAAATGACGAGATAGTAATATTAAATCCATTGACGATAAAGAGAAAAAAGATTCTGAAATCGGAATGAAGGCATCAACAACCTAAATACACTAGATGCACACTGAACCATCTTGTGTCTAAAGAGTTGGGGGTAAGTTTTTTGACGTCTTAATAAACTTTCTGTTAAAATTGTTGGATGGTTAACATTTTTTGATACGTTTTTTGTTTCTTTTAAAGATGTTTACATTGTATATTTAATTTGATCACATAGCAAATTGAGGTAAAATTCGCGGTAAAATTTAGTTTTACAATGACTTATGTTTAACTATATCAGGGACATAAAATTACGATTAAAATATTTTAGATACAAGTCCATGTCTGCTTGGTTGAATTAAATGAGGTCAGGATTCCAACAAAATTACGATTGGAAAAGAATATTTAAAACTAACACTGACAAGTGACAGCCAATTGGAATTGCACACCTAATTGGAATTGCACACATTATCCTGTGGAAAGGTAGAGATAGAAAGAATTAAGTCAACAAATTGTCCAATTTAATATTTTAAATGCAAATTGAACAAAGACCAAAATTATTATATTTATAATATAAGAAATGTGTTATTATCAAAAACTCTTAAAAAATATTTGTATCTTCATTTAGAAAAGAAAATAATCTCATGTAAATAATGTTTTTTATCTTCTACTTTCTAACTACTACATGTATTTGGTTATATTAATAAAGTATCTTAAAGGAACAATGCATTTTTTGTGCAGTTTGATTTCTTGGTGGAGACCCAACCATTTGTGAAGAGTTCAGAAGACTTCAAAGATGACTGCTGTTGTTCGTCAAATAATTTCAGCTGACAAATTTCCATTCTGAACCTCAAGAATGTGTTAGTCCTATACTAGGAATGCATTGTCAAGTTAGCTATCAAACCCAAATCTTTCTCCAAACTTCTGTTTAATCATAATATATGTAGCTTAAAACATTTTTTATCATTACTTTTATAAATTTTATACAGTAGGAGATGACCAAACGAAGACATCTATAAATTTTTAAGCAGTGTGGATTTTTTGTATCCAACATTATTGTTGCTATATAATAATTTAAACTGTAAATTTTATTGTTTTGCTTTCATACTAGAGTTTACAAATGTAATTAACCACAGTAGGATGACACATGCATATAGTTAGGAGTTGTATCTTTTTATCCATATTTGAAATCCAAATAAATGATAAACAAAATTTTATTGTGTTTTCTTTCATTTTTCAACATTCTATAAAAAAAAAATCATACCATTTTTGGGTTTTATTTTTTATATGGTCTCGACTCGACAAATTTTGAACTTTTTATTTTTATTTTATTTCGTCCCCTCGACCCGACTTTTTCTTAAAAATTCCCGTTAAACAGAAAATAAAAAAACTCTGGCCTAATTTTGTAAATAACCAATGACAAGGTTAGTAAATTTACACTTGTTCAATTTTTTTAATTAAAAAAAGCAGCTGTCTCTGATGTCAAAAAGCTGGACTTTAATTTACCACGGGGAATTGTTGTATAAAGCGTTGAAAAGTCGTACGATTTGATGTTATTGATTTGGTAAAATTTTATGATTTCAAATTTTCTAAAAGTTCCTTGGAGCTTTTAAGTATCCACATCTGATTCAAACCACTTCTTGAAAATATTGTTGCACAGTACTCCTGAGGTTTCTCCTTCACTACTTAAATATCTTAGTGAAGAGTAAAGAAAGAAGCTTGATAGAACATTCACTGGAACCCGCTATGTATCTTTTTTTTTTTTTTTAATATATTTTGTAGTTAAGGAATCCAGTATTAGTATGGTGTTTCAAATTCAACTTGATCTTTGGGAATATTAAAGAAATATTGAAAATTAACAAATGATTTTGAAGAATTTCATCCTTAGAAAGGAGCTATGGGTATAAGTTGGATTACCACTTGCAGAATTAAATTCAAAGTCCTCTAAAATACAATTAAAATTATGAGCCTTACAAACAAAGACAATGTTGTTACCTGCTTTGACCAGCTGGGACAGTACATATTGACCGCGTGAAATCTAATTCTTTTTCACTTCTAAATTATTGAAGACAGAAGGATAGATGGTTTTCATATTGCCCTCAATAGCTTCATGCAAGATTTCAAAATCCATCTGATATTTTTAATGCATTCTAAAAAAGAGCTAAAGGTTACAATGAAATATGTGGAGATAACGAACAATATTCGAGCTCAAATGTCCATTAAAAATTACAAAATAGGAGCAGAGCAAACACGGACCTCTAAGACATCAGAGGTGGGATCAGGTGCTATGGAGGAGTGGGCATCCCTTGCCGACAGGTCACACCCGCCGTGTGCTCATTGTCATGATTGGGAAATAACGGAAAAATCCGTCGACAATTAAGTGTGTAAATAATGGCCTAACAATTAGTATGAAAAAAGTCAGTCAGCATTTGACTTTATAATGAAAGATTGTATTTGCTGACAAGCTCAGTGCACAATTTAATAGCCATTCTCTTATATAGGGAGTGTGGCACGCTAGGTCTTAAATTTTTATGAAACTTGGCACACATTCCTATATTGATGTATGAAACTAAAATTCATAATAAAATGGTTGCTATGGTCAATGGTTACCATGGCAACCACCATACATTTTTCATGGCCTAAAAAAAGCTAAATTTTGATGAAAAATGATCCTTTTTGACTAATTAAAAGTCTTAAATACAACAAGATATTTACATGAGTTCATCTTTTTGCCAAAATACATAATTTCTATAGTTCTTTAGGTAATTTCTAGTATTTGAATAACTTTACCTAATAGAAAAAATGTCGCCCGTTTTTAGGTAGGATTTTTCTGTGGAAAAATTGTAGATTTTAGGCTATTTTGAAAAGCCTGGTATAAAATTTTGCGGAGATATGGGGAAAAATAAAAACTTAGGTTTGAAAATCCATATATATTCTAATATAAACTGCAAAGAAACACTTGGTATTTATATTTTGTTTTCATGTCACCATGGTTACAAACTTATGCTTTTTTAAAGAATTCCAGACAAGGGCAATAGGTATCTACAATCAGTTTCCATATAAATACCTGAGTATTTTAAAATGGATTGAAACCAAATTTAGTTATGTGGTACAAAATAGCAAAAACAAAGAGAAAAATCAATTTTCATGACAAAAGGTCAAAGATCAAGGTCAAAATGGCTCGACTTGGATAGAAATTTAAGGAAACTGAGCACATTTTTTTCTGTGTCCCAACTAATACTTTTGTTTTAAACAGCATGAATAAACAAAATTACAGTTCTAGTGGACAATAACTACATGTAGCATCAGCTGAATTGGTAAATACGGACAGAAGGTCAAAGTTCAAGGTCACAATGGTATATAAAAATTGCCTTTTTGTCCCACGCTTTCACTGAAAGTGGAGGATATTGATTTGGGTCTGTCTGACCGTCCATCTGTCCGTCAGTCTGTCTTTCTGTAACACTTTAGTTTCGGCCCGATGTCTCAAGAAGCCTTTGAGGCTTTGCAATGAAATTTTGCATAAAAAATCCCTGTGGCCTAGGGAAGACTCCAATTGATTTTATGGTCAAAGTTCAAGGTCACAATGGTATATAAAAATTGCCTTTTTGTCCCACGCTTTCACTGAAAGTGGGGGATATTGATTTGGGTCTGTCTGACCGTCCATCTGTCCGTCAGTCTGTCTTTCTGTAACACTTTAGTTTCGGCCCGATGTCTCAAGAAGCCTTTGAGCCTTTGCAATGAAATTTTGCATAAAAAATCCCTGTGGCCTAGGGAAGACTCCAATTAATTTTATGGTCAAAGGTCAAGGTCATGAATTCATAAATTCAGTCTGTTTAAACACTTTATTTCTGTGGATATCTCGAGAAGCTTTCGAGCTTTTGCATTGAAATTTTAAACCACAACTCCCTATGAACTAAAGAAGACCCCTATTGATTTCGAGGTCAAAAGGTCAAAGGTCAATGTCAAAAATTTATACATTTTCTTTGTGTGTAAAACTTTCATTTCCGAGCGATATCTCAAGAAGCTTTTAAGCTTTTGCAATGAAATGTTATATCATAACTCCCTATGGTCCCGCCCGCTCCTCTGAAAGTGTCCCTTCCCCCCACCCCACCATCCTACGACCACCACCCCTCTAGATCCGTACATGCCCTTCTTTTTCCCTTAAGCAGGGGACATAGATTCTCTGCATTAGCTTGTTAGTATTGCATTTATACTTGGATATTGTGAAAGCGTATCCTGTTTTATACTGAAACTGGTAAATAAATTACATTCTCACCTTTAGCTTGATGCATAATGTGAAAATGCTATGAGAATGTTTTTAAAGGTCATTTATTGATAAAAATGTTGCCAAGTCAAAATATTGAAAACCTATACACTTACCATATTGAGTGATTTGTACGTAGAGAATTGTGCTACATGCATGTACAAACTCTTTTGTTGTTTTTGTAGACTAAGTCCTTGTTCTAAAATGAACATTTTTGACCCTATTCAACAGCCCTCACTTTTCCAGTGATAATCAAATTATGTTTTCCTGTGACTTTTTTCAGAGAAAGCCTAAATCCATTTTACTTTGCAATATTATTCTTAAAAACTTGAAAATTTAGAGACATTGATGATGAATATTTCAACCCAAATATGCATGGGTTTACACATAATACATGTAGATCTGCTTTTTCCCAAAATTTAATCAATAATAGTCTGTTGTAAAAATCTGCTGGACCTGTTAAGATAATCTGCTTTTGTACTTTCTTGAATTTATGTCGGTTGCTAAATTTGATTTGGTTGGTAAGTTTAGTCCTTGAAAATGTTGAAAATAAATAATCTGTCCCTGCCTTATTCCTACGGTTTTCATTTTATTTAAAAATGAATATAGTAAGTGAACAAAGACCAGGACCTACTCCACCCCTTCCAGGAACCAGGTAAAAGCACTTACTCCATATAAATTGGTAAGATAGTAAGAGGCATTTGTAAAAAAAAAACAAAACAAAACAAAAAACAAAACAAAACAAAAAAAAAAAAAAAAAAAAAAAAAAAAAAAAAACAATAAACCAAAAAAAAAAAAAAAAAAAAAAAAAAAAAGAACACGGATCCCTTGTAAAAGGTTAAGAAGCATTATTTATATATATTAAAGGAAGTGGTTCATTCATAAGTGATTAACCCCACCTTGCCCCCATTCCCGAGATATAGATTTTTTAATTTAATTTTAAGATTTTTTTTTCGGTAGAAAAGGGGGGGGGGGCTTGTTAGAAATTTATTTATGTTTTCGTTGTAAATAAAATACAGCTAGGCAGATTTAAAATTAATTTTACTGCTACAAGGTTCAATCTAAATGTATCTTAGTCTAGAGAAATGATAAACCGTTAACTTTAAATATGATTCAGACAATTTGTATTTTATGCACCCCCTCCCCCCCCCACCAAAAAAAAAAAAAAAAAAAAAAAAAAAATGGAAAGTATAATTTTGACTGGTCGACAGGAATCAAACAAAACATTTTTATTATTGGCCTTAACAATTTATTCTTTTTTTTATTGGGTAAAGACCTTTCCTTTAAAGAAAATTCTTGCTTCAGCAAATTATCAATTTCTTTGTAAATGTTTTCAAAATCATTGAATAAAAAAGCAAAATCTGAAATATACACACATAACTTTTCTCTTTTTTGTGATACAGATAAAGGCAAACAGTAGGAGGAATTAAAAAGATTGAGTTTTCTGTTACATCCTTCACTAAAAACTGTTTTTTAGGTTTGGTTTTTTTTTCTATATATAGCATTTAAATAGAGATAAAA